AAAAAAAAAAAAAAAAAAAAATTAGGAGACGGATGTTTTTTTTTTTTTGCTAATATCGAACGTCACTTTAGGTTTCCTCGGCTGCATTTTTTTTATTGATAAAAACTTAACTATCAGTTTTTTGTGTGGTGTAAGAAACTTTATGCTTTAGGCTCTAGTTTTACTCGTTTCGCTGTCTGTATTTCTCTGAAGAATCTATTGAGGATTCAGTTTTAAGTTAGCATGAAACTTCCTTCGAAAACACTCGACGACTTACAATTTCCTTTGTGGGCAAACACCTGTTGGGGAATGAAAAGATTCCTGCTAAATCTTTCATGTTTGGATGGCGAACCATTTTTTGGACGTTACCTTCAACTTTTGTATTATTTCATTTCATATTTTGTTTGCCTTTTGTTGTTTCGTTCAGTTCCCAGAAGGATTGCAACGTTGGCCAGCTGTTAATGAAATAGCAAAGTAAGAAACGTGTCTAATTTTTGAAAATTATGTAACATTGATAATCTGATAGCGATGTATCGGTTTTTTTATTCTTAAGAGGAACTCTGCGCACCACTGTTAGTTGTGAGTAACCATTTACCTGGCCAAGACTTCAGTGAAAATTCAGTCTTTTTAGGAACTGAAGTGGTGTTGGCAGATGACAGTGTGAGAGGTGATGTATTGCAATGAAAGAATATAAAAAACTGTATGAAAGCTTTGGTTCTAGAAGAGGAAAAGTAGAGATAAAGCTGGAAGCATCTCAAAAACCATGACTTGTCGTAAAAACGCTTTCTACATTCATTGACATGTAATCAAAATGATTCTGTTAACAAATTTGAATACAGACTTTACAGCTACTGATGGTAGAATGAGCGGTGATGTACAGTTAGCTTTAAAAAGCATCAGCTGTTATAGCTGAAGTGTCATAATAAAACAATTATTACGGATATCGTACATTTTTGGCTTGCGAAGCGTGCGTTGTGAGCAGTTTACTCAGGATTTCCACTGCATGAACTAATGTTTGTCTTAATCACTGTTTTAGACTTTTTAACCGACCCCTAGTACCAAATTTGTCATGACCCTCAGAGTTACAGAATCTCTTAGATGGTAATGGCACGTCGTGTTAAGCATGCTAGACCAAGACGTTCCGTATCTGGAGTGACATCCGGGGTTCCACCGTTTGAGAACCTCTGTACTGTCAGGGCACGTTTTTTTGCTTTTCTTTAGGATTCACAGAAAAATTGAAAAAACAAAGACTGGACTGAATTGTTTAACTTTTTTTCTAATTTTAGGAGGAGCATGGTCATAAAATCTACGGCTGTTGTTTTTGTCCTTATAGTCGGGAAACTTTGTATTTTGCTACTGTCGGACACAATCGGGTCAGTTTCGCTTTCCGCTTTACGCATTCTGACCAGTTCAGTTTCAGGACATTGTTGAGTAGGAAGACAGACTAGAGGATTTCTTTTTTAATGTGGCGATAACCTGTGTTTTTTATATTTAGGTAACTGTTTACAAAATAAATGATGATGAAAACTTGGAGCTTTTGCGTTGCTATCAAGATGCGGCGGTATGCGTTTTTAGTCTAAAAAAGTTATTACAGGAGTAAATTCTGTTTTTTGTTTTTTTCCACTGCTCTTTTTTTTTTGTTTTTCAAATTTTAGATTTTTTTCTTTCAGGTTACATTTGTTTTTTTATTGCTCTTTTTTGTCTTTCAGATTCTGCTTTAATATTATATTCTTTAGGGAGATGAATTGTTTTATACTGTGTGTTGGGCGTATGATCCAGACTATGAAGAGCATTCCGTTGTGGTTGGAGGCCAGAGAGGTATAGTTCGTGTTTTAGAAGCTACTACGGGAAATGTTATTTGCGTATGTTTTTGAATACATTGTGTAAAGAATTTTTAATAGGGTTTTCACAAAATAAGAGTCTTTGCAGCCTTCTGCTAGGAGCGCATCTTCTATGGTTATTTATAGAGCTTGAGCGGACATGGTGGGGCTGTAAACGACATTAAAGTGTGTCCCAAAGATTCCACATTAATTGCTACTGCGGGGGAAGATTTTACAGCTCGGATTTGGGATACCAGAAATGAATCTTGTTTGGCCATATTAGGAGGAGTTCAGGGACAC